TTCTCCATATTTGATCAGACTTTGTTTTAAATAAGTTAATTCTTGCTGGTAAATTTTGTAAATCTGACAATGAATGCATGAAAAATGGTTATAGTCAGGAAGTAATTTTTATAAATGTATTACCTGACAGTGCAGTAATTCTTAACTATCCTAATTTAAGTGCAACCTAATTTAAGTGCAAATGTTTAAGGTTTTCTGAGGACTTGCTATGACAGTTCAGACAAAGTTTATTTGAAACTGAATGAGTCAGTTTCCTTTCCAAAAGAGATTTTTCACACCTATATTAGGATGATTGCAGGTAGAGTTCATTGGCTCTAATTATACAGTAAATACCATGTCTAGATTCTAATGGTAAACAAACAACTTGTGATAAGGCAGTCTGATGTAGCTGTAACCATTTAAATCTTGTTTGTTTGTTTTTTGTTTTGTTTGTTTGTTTGTTTTAGACCAATTGTTGTGGTGGTATGGTTCCAGCCAATTGAAAGCAAACCGTTGTATAAATTACAATTTTTAGTTTGTAAAAATCTGGACATTTGAATTGGGAAGTCATATAATGAATTGATTTAACTGTTTTAAGCACAACTAATGTTTTAGGTTTTTAAAAAATTCCAGCTCTCATGAATGTTAGTGTAATTGTAGCTGAAAGATCAAAGCCTGGGTAGCTGAGTGATGTTCCAGAAGAGAATTTACCACATAGCCATTTTCAGTACAGTTTGTGCCGCCTGCTGTTCCTATTTTCCCTCAAGCTAGCCATTGACTACCCCCTGTGCATCCCTGCTCGTAAAAAATGATTGAGGAAGTATTTGTCATGTATTTATGAGTGGGAAACATTGTGTGATAGGGAATGGCATCTATTGGAGCCAGAAAGATTGCCATTTTCCTTCACTGAAGCATTCTTATAGGTTTAAATCCACAGTTTTGAAACATAGCTTTTGTGTTAAAGTGCAGAATAAATTTTTACTGTGAAGGATGCTAACGGTAGGTTTTGTCATTTATGTCAGCGCAAAACAGATGCAAATAATTAGAGTATATTTTACTATGAGGTGTCTTTTAATTTGAAATGTTTGTGTTTGTACGTGTTCATGTTGTAAATCTGAGCTATGTTTGCATTAGTTGCTCAACTAGCAAAAAATTTTTTGGAATATAATTTGCATTGTAACAGTTTTAAGGTTAATGCAGGAAATCAAATAGGAGGCAGAGGATTTTGATTATAGCTACAAGAGGAAAGCTAAAATTATCTTTGTTTTAGTAGGTTATTCCTTTCAGAATTAAAGATAATTTTAACTGCTAATTTAAAATTTATTTAAATCCAGGTGGTGTAATGTTATTTCTCAATCTTACAGAAGAAGAAAACACAGTGAAAGATAAGACAATTGTCTGTGTGAGTAGGTGTATTGACCTTTTGAAAGATGCATGGAATGGCTCCAAGCAGCTACTCATTGGTTTTAACAGTGTTGAATTAGTCATTCAGTTGATTTATGATTAAGACTTAACCCTTGAAGAGAAGCTGCTATGAGAACTGTTAGTTGCAATTGTATTATGATCAGATGACCATAAATATGAAGTTGTATAAAGAAATCCACTGAACCCATTTTAAATACATATTGCTATTTTAAATGAACAATTGGAGTTATTTAAAACCCTTTTAAATTCTTAATAAGTATAAACTTAACACTTTCTTAACATCTATTTTTACATCAAAGTACACTAATTCAACGTATTAATTTTCAGTTAAAGCTGCCTAACAATCTACAAAATGTAAAGCAAACATAGGACATTAGAGTTGTCAAACCTTCATCAGTCTTGGCATATATGTTGCTCCAGGAGGGTCAAACATAGTATCCATTTATAAGGTATGTTGAACAAAGTAATATGAGAATGTACTTTGTTCTGTGTTGATTTTGATGTTTGATATGTTTCCTCACACTTAGTATTGATAGTGTATGTGTATTTTTTAGGAGTCGAACTTCATTTTCTACCAAGTAAAGTTCTTCTTCGAGTGATCCCCGTGGGTGCTCCACTCTAGGTGTCGGGCTCATCCCGGCACCGCTGATCGGAGGCTTTTCGTAGCTGTAGTCGGCCGGACCACACATGTGCGGCAGGCTCTGTGCACCGTTTCTCCAGTCATGCGGTCTGGCCCCTTCGCCAGTTCCTTTAAACCGTCCTAGGTTGCTGATGGAGATCTCAGTCTCTCCTCAGAGGCAGCTCCTTTCAATAGAAAAGTTAAAAATTTTCATTAGTTTTCTTCAGGTTATAGTTAGCGTTAGTTAGGTAGTTAGTTTAAAAAAAATTTAAAGTTTGACGTAGTTAGTTAAGGATACTGTTATTTCTAGTTTATCTACTGTTTTAAAACCGGGACATTCAAAATGCCCGGTTCACCGGGTTTTAAGAAATGTTCTTTGTGCAAAGACCCCATGCCGGCGTCCGATGGCCACGGCTTGGGGGAGTCCCATGTGCCGAGCAAATGTGCTCACTGTTCCAAATTAACGGCCAGGGCACGTAGGGACAGGGACATGAGGCTGAAGCTCATCCTATTTGATAAGGCTCTGCAGCCTTCTGAAATGCCTCAAGGAGGTCCCTCTATGGAGCACAGGAGGAGGTCTTCACCGCTGAGCAGGTCGGCTCAAAAGAAAGGGAAAGAAGTCTCCCCGGCGCGATGCCTGACCGCGGCCCCTCTATCTAGAATCAGTGAGGGTGACCAGCCGGGTATGGGTTATCACCTCCGGAACGGACTCAAAAGAAGGGGAAAAAAGTCTCCCCGGCGCGATCCCTGACTGCGGCCCCTCTATCTAAAATCAGTGATGGTGACCAGCCAGGTACCTCCGGAACAGGTTATCAACCCGCGAAACAAAAATCGCACAGGCATAAGTCTGTGGGACGTTCCTCTTCCGTGCCGGTGCCGTCGACCACTGTTAAGGCGGGGAAGAAATCGGCACCGCCGACTCAAGGGCGGCAGCCTATGAGAGTGCCTGACCCTACAACCTCGGCACCGACGGTGCAGAAGCACGGGAGGCACAATACGGCACTGCAGCCGGCACCGCTTCAACCAGCGGCACCGACAGAGCAGGCGGCACCGGGGCACCGAACGCCCACGGCACCTGATACGGCGCCGAGTGGCAGTCACTATGGTGCCGGGAACAGCACCGCAAATTATAAAGAAAACGAGCACGGCACCGGCGGACCATCGCAGCTTGGTTCCGCCTATGGCACCGGTACCAGAGTTAGCCTCCCCAGCTTCATCGGCGAGGCACTCCCCAATACTGGTAGACGATGAGGATCAGGTCTCCAAGTGTTCCTCCGTCGGCGAGCCCTACGCCATGCCTTCGACCGTACCTACAAAAGCGCAAAGGAAGTCGGTTCCTAGAAGTGCGTCTCCTTCTCCATCACCGATTTTTTCCGCCGGCACCTTTTTTCGCTGGCACCGTCTCCCTTGCCCCCGCGATACCATTCTCCAAGGGGGCCTCGTTATCATCGCAGCTCCCGCTCTCCGCACCGCCACTCGAGGCTGCATTACACTTACGTTTACAGGCACCCCATACCACATTTTGGGATGCATACTTCTAGGTCTCACTCACCAACTCGTTCACCCTCGAGGTCTTATGTCAGCAGATACAGTACTGCCTATTCATCTAGGAGACCATCTCCCGACGGCTCCTATCTACATAGATAGAGAGAGAGACTATTCTTCTCATCACTACACAAGGTCTCGTTCTCCTCCTCACTCTTGTAATTGCCATGTCTTGTGGCATAGACACCAATCCCCGGTGGGGTCATTAAGGCAGCCAATCCCAACATTAAGGCAGCCAAACATTCCGGTGGTTGCTCCTTCATCTCCCCCTCAGATGTCAGAACCTGAGGAGGGTCAAATTTCAGATCAAGATGTTCCTCCACACACAGTATCTCCAGCTGACATTTCTTCATCCTCTCCGGATGAGGCTGTGTTTCAAGGAGACAGTTCAACTCCTGACGATGGTCGAGAATTCCAAGACCTTTTTAAATGGGTAGCACACACACAGAACGTTCAGATGACGGACGTGCACACCAAACAATACAAGTTGCTGAAGAACTTACACCCAAGACAACAGTCAAGACCAGAACTCCCAATTGACGAGGCTATTCTCGAACCAGCCTCGGAGATCTGGCACACCCCGGCCTCCGCCCCACCTACGTCAAAGCGGGCGGAAAAGAGGTATTTTGTTCCTTCCAAGGGCTTGGAGTTTCTTTTTACGCACCCCCACCGAATTCCTTAGTAGTAGATGCAGCCCTTAATCGTGCCAAGAATCCGCAGGTAAAGAATGCGGCAGCGGAAAAAGAGGCCAAAAAATTAGACATCTTCGGAAGGAAGGCTTATTCTTCCTCTACCCTCCTTCTTCGCATTGCCAATTACACGGCACTTCTGTCCAACCACGGGTTTGATAACATTGCTAAGTTGGCAGGGCTTGCCCAGAATGCCTCCGAAGAGGATAAAGCCATACTCCGTGCCGTGGTACAGGAGGGCTATGCTTGCTCCAGGGCCAGTCTGCAGATAGCCATGGATGTTGTGGACACGGCAGCGAGATCAATAGCCACCGCGATATCCATGTGTAGAGCATCATGGTTGGCCGCTGCTGGGGCCCCTAGAGATTTGCAGGCGAAAGTCGAAGACCTGCCCTTCGACAAATTGAAATTACTTGCAGACAAAACTGATGAGGTGCTGCACATGGGAAAAGACTCACGTACGACCCTTCGTACTCTTGGCATGTACGTACCACCGTTCCCGTTCCGCCGCTGGAGATTGTATCAAAGGTGATATGATTTTCAGTTTCAAAGACAACAACCTCGTCCTTTTGATCATACTCGGTCCAAACAAAGACCTCAACGTAGACGTCCTCAACCATCTAGGGCGACCAACACGCCGCACGCAAAACAACAAGTTTGACTCGCCCGTCGAGGGCGCGATTACACCAGTTGTAGTTACCACCACTGCCAATGCCATACCCATCTTCCATCATCGCGTTGGGCCGAAATAACCACCAACAAATGGGTATTGGAAATAGTAACATCAGGTTTCACCATCCCCTTTGCTTCTATACCCCCCACGCATCCACCAACCCCGTCCCTTTTCAGGGACCCCTCTCACGACACTCTTTTGCGACAGGAGGCTCTACGCGTGCTGGCCATCGGAGCCATAGAAAAAGTCCCAAAAGAGTTCAGAGGGAAAGGGTTTTTATTCCTGTTACTTTCTGACGGAAAAGAAGACAGGAGGATGGAGACCAATTCTCGAACGGCACCATCTCAACCGTTATCTGCAGAAAAGGCGTTTCAGGTTGGTGACTTTAGTCACTATAATTCCAGCTTTGAATCACAACGATTGGTTTGTGGCCCTCTACTTGCAGGATGCGTATTTTCACATTACGATCCACCCGGCGCACAGACCTTTTCTGCGCTTCGTGATAAACAATGACCATTTCCAATACAGGGTCCTCCCCTTTGGCTTGGCGGCAGCTCCCAGAGTTTTCTCAAAGACTCTAGCGGTAGTGGCGGCATATCTGCGGCGCCAGCACGTCCTCATATTCTCTTATTTAGACGATTGCCTTATAAAGGCCCCAACGCATCAAGAGGCCATGCAGATGATCTCGTTAGCCAGAAGCACGTTCGATTCTCTCGGCCTGATAATAAATGAACAGAAGTCAACCACCGTTCCGACACAAAATATAAAGTTCATCGGTGCAGTCCTAGATTCGATGACGGCAAGGGCATACTTACCTCTAGACAGGTTCCAAGCGATACAGGAACTAGTAAAGGTACTGGACATCGCTCCAACTGTGTCCATACATACTTGTCTGCACCTCCTGGGCAACATGGCATCCACCACATTCATGGTTCCTCATGCAAGGCTTCACTTCAGAGATCTTCAATACTGGTTAGGAAGGGTATACTTACTACAAAAACACAGCATTCACAGAACGGTCACTGTGCCGCCTCACGTTCGCGACTCCCTGCGTTGGTGGGGAAACACAGGAAACATCCTTTCCGGAATCCCATTCCGTCGTCCTCAGCTCTCTGTGCTTATAACAACAGATCCATCTCTCATAGGCTGGGGTGCACATATGGGCAACGATCGTGTTCAGGACAAATGGTCCTCCATAGAGAAGACTTATGACATCAATCTCTTGGAGTTACGCGCCATTTCCCTAGCATGCAAGCATTTTCTCCCGTGCATACGACACACCACTGTCAGGATATTCACAGACAACGTGGCAGCAATGTATTATGTAAACCGACAGGGGGGCGCCAGATCTTGTTCCCTCTGTGCGGAAGCAATACGGTTGTGGAACTGGTGCATAAAGAACGGCGTAACCATCACAGCATCGTACTTACCTGGCATCAGCAATGTCATTGCAGACTCGTTGAGCAGACGTTTCCCGGTAGATCACGAGTGGGAGATGCGATGCAGAATATCTGATCTTATCTTTCACAGGTGGCATATGCCGAGAGTGGACCTATTTGCCACAGCGCAGAATGCGAAGTGTCCCCAGTTCTGTTCCAGAGCGGGGCGATGCTCTTCTTACCACTTGGCGCACATCGCTTCTCTATGCATTTCCCCTGGCTGTCCTGGTGGCTGCTCTAAACAAAGACCCCAACGTAGACGCCCGCAGCCATCTAGGGTGGTGGCCAGGACTCTCGAGAAAATAATGCTCGAATGCGCAACAGTCATATTGATAGCTCCGGCATGGCCAAGACAGCCTTGGTACCCACTCTTGCACAGGATGTCAATATACCCACCCTGGCCACTCCCTCTTTGTCCAGACCTGTTATCACAGCAGAACAGAGCTCTCCTGCATCCTAGACTCGACTCACTTCACCTCACAGCATGGCTGATAACTGGTTCAAACAGGATGAGCACCTTTGCTCACAACGAGTCAAGACAATTTTGATGAGTAGTAGGAAAGATTCCACTCGGAGAGCTTACCTGGGGAAGTGGCGGAGATTTGCTCAATCGTGTCAGACTCAAAACGTGGAACCCCTTGTTTCTCCTTTGCAACAGATCCTAGATTACGTCCTACAGCTTCACGACTCTGGTCTCTCCTTGTCTACTCTGAAAGTTCATATAGCAGCGATCAGTGCCTTTCATGAGCCACTACAGGGTTCCTCAATTTTTTCCCATCAAACTACAAAAAGGTTTTTAAAGGTTCTGATGAACCTGCATCCACCTCACAGACCTCCTCCACCAGCCTGGAGCCTGGATTTGGTCGTACACTCAATAGTGCACCCTCCCCCTTTGAGCCTTTGGCATCAATATTGCTGTGAATGTTAACAATGAAAGTTGTATTCCTATTGGCAATTACCTCTGCACGCAGAGTCAGCGAGCTAGGAACGTTAATGGCAAGTCCTCCTTACACATCCTTTTCAAAGGACACATTGATATTGTGCCTGCGTCCGGCGTTCATCCCCAAGGTCAATACCTCTTTCCATATCAATGAGCCTATAGTTTTAAATGCCTTTTATCCTAAAACACATTGTTCTCCATCAGAGGCCTTTCTTCACACACTCGACGTGCGACGAGCTCTCACTTTTTACATAGAAAAAACCCGTTCATGGAGACGTACGGACAAGCTGCTTGTATCCATAGCGCAACGTTCCAAAGGCAATCCTCTTTCAAGTCAGCGTATAGCTAGACTGATTACAGATTGCATCTCCACATGCCATTCACTCGAAGACCCCTCGTTTCTCAACCTATTGCTCATTCCACTAGAGCGGTGGCCACTTCCACCGCCTTTGCCCGAGGCGTCCCTCTCAGTGACATTTGCCGGGCAGCCACCTGGTCCTCTAGCACTTCTTTCGTTCATTATTACGCTATAGTGCGGCGCTGGGCCCTGGACGCAGCAGTAGCGTCCGCGGTTCTAGCCTCTGCACAACGTCATTGACCCAGTGCGCACCTTGACTACTGCTTTGTAGTCACCTAGAGTGGAGCACCCACGGGGACCACTTGAAGATGAAGGGGAAGTTACTCACCTGATGTAGTAACGATCATTCTTCGAGATGTGTCCCCGTGGGTGCTCCATGTCCCGCTCTCCTCCCCGCTCCGGGTCTGTCTTCTTATCTCGTTACAGAATCCGGATGGTGACAGGAACTGGCGAAGGGGCCGGACCGCGTGACTGGAGAAACGGCGCGCGGAGCCTGCCGCGCATACACGGTTCGGCCGACTACAGCTACGAAAAGCCTCCGATCAGCGGGGCCGGGATGAGCCCGACACCTAGAGTGGAGCACCCACGGGGACACATCTCGAAGAACGATCGTTACTACACCAGGTGAGTAACTTCCCCTTTTCTTGTGCTGATCGTTTAATGATGTCTTTAAGCATTTAATTCTGTAAATGGAAGGTATATTTTGGATGAATAGAATTCTTCTAAATTGATTTGTGAGTGCTAATGTTTTGTGATACAACTCAGATTTCAAAACTTCTAGAATACTAAAATATATATTTGAACATCATAATTTCAGAACTGTATTTCAAAAATTCACTGCTAGGAATTTCAGTGACCTATGAGCATTAGCTGTTGAGTGGGCATTGAAAGTCAATGGGAATTAGGTGACTATCAACCTTAGGCCCCCTTGAAATTCCCAAGCTGTAAACATAAAGACTTATGAATACTTGTTGTAGTGCTGTTATATTATATCAACCTTTTCTGAGTTGTCATGGTATTTCATATCATGCAAGTAACCTTTCAGAACCCTCGCACACAATTCCCACCATCATCAAACTTTTTGTTGGATGGTTGCAGGGAGGCTAGTCATTGTGTTGTTTGATTAATTGTACCTTGTTAGAAGTTAGCAATTTTTTTCATATACTGTATTTCACTATGTATATACATTTATACACAAACTAATAATAACGATTATGTATATATTATGTTATGTAAATTATATTCCTATTAACAGATTTTCAAGGCCAGAAAGGGGCCATTTTGATGATTAGGTCTGACCTGCTTGTAAGGTGATATAATTTCAATAGTTTAGTGCCTTTCTTTTTTCCATGTTTTCTCAAATCTTCTGACTCAAGTAGAGATAAATAATTACACAGCAGAAGAAGATAAATGTGATGCAGAGAGCAGGGGATCTAGCAAATAGGGAATGATCTACATAGTCTTTAACTTAGAGGTCATCAGTTAAAATTGAGCATAGGTCAATAGAGAGAGAAAGATTTTAGTATCCGATGCTTCAGAAATTGGTACGTCTGTCTAGATCCAGTTTAAACCCTGTTCTGAAGTCACTTCGTAATTTTATAATGAGCTTGTCTGTAATACTTATAAGTACAGTATGAGGACTTCACATATGTCAATTAATTTATTTTCACAATGTCCCTAAAAGGGGATTGGTATACCTACGTTGTGCGGGGTGGGGTTATTACCCTCATTTTTACAAATAGAGAATTGAGTCAGGGAGAGATTGAAGTTGAATGTATCTCCTAATTTTGAGTGTCCAGTTTGAGACCTCAAAGGCCCAATTTTGCAGAGTACTTAGCTTAGCACAACTCACACTTACTTAACTTGTAGCCGAGAGTGCTCAGCAATTCTGTAAATTAGAAACGAGTCTCAACTTGAGCACAGAGAAAATTAGGAGTTCATAGTTAGTCCTGTATTGCAGTACACAATAAGGTAGCTTATGTAGACCTAATTACTTCAGGGTTTTCACTCTACAGCTTCGTTCCTGCCAATGTTAGTGCCCTACTAATTTGACGTGCTAACTCTACTTTCATGAGAGGGATAAGGCTTGTATTGCTTTAGTTAGTTTGGCACAGTGTCTTGTAGATGCTACATTACTTACATTGTCTATTGACTGATTGTCAGTTTCATGGCAGGAGCCATGAAACCGATAAGAAAGCCAGGTAGTTAGAAGCCAACTGCTCCATGCTGTCCTGTTTGTTCTGCATGGACAGCTCCCACCTATTCTACCTCATTCCTAACTGAGAACGTTGGCAATTTTGTCAATTTCACAGAGCCAGAGCCATAAACTGTTGGGGAATGGGGAAGTGAGAAGCCTTCTCCCATTCCCAGCAGTGAATGGGACTGGGGGAGGCATAGCCTGCTGGGACACTGGGGAGTGGCCAGACTCCCATCAAGAAGCTGTCAGCAGAGCTGCGATATATATATATGATGATAGTGTGGACATGAACCACTTCAGTAATTACTTTGGTAGGCCGACCTAATATAGATTATCTTGTGTCTAGTATAGGTGAACCCTTAATGATCTTTGAAAAGTGGTTTAGGTGACAAGGCTACCATCATCTAGGAACTCTGTGGCAGAGGCAAGGATAGAATCCAGTTTTCCAGTTAAGACAGCATGTAGCTGTCTTAACTGTGGGACTGTCCTTCTGTAAATCCCATGTTTCATTCACTACATATTTTACATCTGCTTATGAAATGAGGCAGGAATTCTGCAGACAGTCGTCTTTGTTACACAGCCTTGGTTCATCCCCAGAGCAAGTCCATCTGGCACACTGAAAGAAGCGGTGGTGCCATGAAAAAAGTAGTATGTGATCTTGTGTGAGGTATACACACAAAAAAAGCCAAATTGAGGTTGTGTCTGTGAATTGTCCAGACTATTCAGGAGAATGCCTCTTGGCGCCATTTGTCCGACTCAGGAATGGAGAAGGACAGTTTGGGACTTGACTTCTTGACCACCTCCTTCAAAGGAGTGTCCCTGTGGGTGCTCCAATCAGGTGTTGGTGTGTCCTTGCGCTGGCAGTTGGAGAATTTTAGCCTACATGTGCCTTCTCGCGTTGCGCGTGTGTAGTCACCATCTCATGCTGTTTTCATCCATTGGCTGCATGCACAGTGCAGCTCTCCTCAGTTCCTTTTCTACCATCATCAGCAGAAAACAGAATCTAAGCAGTGCTTTTCTGGCTGAAAAGAAAGAGAAAAATTAGTTTATTAGTATTTTTAGCAGTTCTTAGCCATTGTTAGCTAGTTCTAGTTCATTTAAAGGGGAAAAAAAAGTTCCTACCCATTTTTTCATCCAAGTTCTTCAGATCCCAGTTTTTTTCCATCATGCTGGATTTCCCCAGTTTTAAGAGATGTGACTTCTGCAGAGACTCGATGCCTGTTTCTGATGGGCAAGTCTTCTGCATAAAATGTCTAGGTGAGGTCCATGTGGTGCAGAAATGCCCACGCTGCCAAAACATGACCTCCAGAGTGAGAAAAGACCGGGAGACGAAGCTTAAAAAGTTGCTGTGGGAGAAATCCCTTCTGCCGCTGGAGCAAAAACTGTTGAACCTTCGGAGCAGTCAACTCCATGGAAAAGCACCAACTCATCCCCTCCAAGGGACTCCCAGAGGTCCTGAGCTTTTTCTGGCATGGTCCTTGCCTTTAACATCCCGTGTCGCGCATTCACCAGTGCCATCTACCCCTGGCACCGCAGAAAAGTGAAGAGTGGCACTGACAAAAAGAGCAGAGTCTGAGCTGAAGGGAAAATCCAGCTCCTCCACATTGTCCAGCATGGCTTCTCACCCAGCACCGACCAAGATGGACATGCCATCCCTCCCGGTACCGATGGATGTACCGCACAACCTTCTAACTGGAGGTGAAGATGGGTTCCCAGAAAGATGCAGATGTGGCACCTAAACCACCAGTGCCGAGCATCAATTCTAACCTACAACACCGATCTTCAGAAAATATCTTTCTCATGTACACCATTATTGCTGGGCACCAGACCCAGCACTCCACTCCAATAGGTTCAGTGGCCTCATGACATTCTACTAGGCACCGACCATCACACCATCCACCACAGTATCCATGGTTTAACCACCCTTTGCCTTATCCACCACAACACTTTCAATATCAGTGGCCACCTTGGAAACCCTGGAACCAATATCGTACCCTCTCCTCTCACCTTCATTGTTCACAAGAATCAATAGTGGCGACTTTGGTATGCACAGTAACACGGTCTCTCGTAACCACCATACAATC